ACAATCTGACATTAACGATTAAAACACATGTGTGCATTCTTATAAATGCAAACCGAGTCAAGCCGACTCCGGAGGTGGCGGTATGCACCTTAAAGCTGTTTGGCAATCCGCAAAAAAACCGAGAGAAGAAGAAGAAGAAGAAGAAGAAGAAGAAGAAGAAGAAGGAAGAAGAAGAAGAAGAAGAAGAAGAAGAAGAAGAAGAAGAGAAGAAGAAGAAGAAGAAGAAGAAGAAGAAGAAGAAGAAGAAGAAGCAGAAGAAGAAGAAGAAGAAGAAAGAAGAAGAAGAAGAAGAAGAAGAAGAAGAAGAAGAACTCCGAGCTGTCCGACTTCAGGCGAGCTTTTGAGACCTCCCCGGCTGCGATCGGCTATTCTCGTCTACTTTCGAGGCGAGCCGCAACGCGTCTGAAACAAGCCCTACTGACTCCGCCACTGACAGCCGACACACACCAACACTTTCGGAGAAAAGGGAAGGCGCATCACCTTCCGTGTTTTAAATTCCGGAAATGAACCATGCAATTTATTATTTATTGTGTGTTTGTTAATTTGTTAAATGATTATGTTAAGAGGTGGTTAACCTGTTTTATGTTTGGGTCGGATTTTTATGTTGACAATGTGGTTTGAGGTAATTGCGTCACCTGTTGACGATAAGCCTGTGGGAGGGGCTATGGGTTCAAAATGGACGGTTTTTGGCCCTGGAGGAGGACTTGGAAGAATGTTGCAATGAAGGCAACAGCTGGGACATGTTCAGGAGAGGTTTGCAGAGAAGGCAACACCAGAGCATGTTTACTCGGATGAGTGATGGACGGTTTGATTTGGACATTTATTTATTTTGTTTAAGTTGTGCTGGTTCGTTATTTTATTTTTTGCTGCTGTTATTAAAGTTTTGGAGCTTAACCCAACCGACTAGGCCAGTGTTGTGAACGGACAAATAGAGCCCTGTCACAATCGGTCTGAACATCTGAACAAACGTTTATTTGCAAGGTTTTTATTTATCTTACTGGTCTAAGAAATATATTGCTGTTCAATGCAACCCAAAAGCAACCATCTCCAACAACCTTTAATCAATCGTATCTTCACCTGAACAAGGTCTATTTAAGGGTGAATGGACGGCCCTGACACCAATGAATACAATGCTGAGAACCAGCCATTTATAAATACTCACCCTCAGTTTGGGAACCATTATTTAGGGATTGTTAATATGACATTGATATACATCTACCGATGTTTAATCAGTTGTATTTGAAAAGTTAGCTGCATCACTTATACTCTTATATTCCTTTCACATATAGTTTTCACCATCTTGTGTAATACCCTGGAATAAAGACAAGATCATTCAATCGTGTAAAAACCTTTATTGATTCTTCATTTTTTTTCAGTAAAGTCCAGATTATAAAGAATTATATCTGATCTCAGGTTAGAAATACCAACACAACCAACTCAGCTACAAACATGGAGACAAAATGAGTTAAAGAAGTTAATCTCAACATTTAACCCAATGCCCCTTGAATTTCTTCTGTCTAGTTAAGTCTACAGAACTCAGCATAGTCTCCAAAGTTGTCATAAAAGCAAACTCCAGCGTAGAGAGGCTCAGTGAAGGTGGTCTGGACTCTGTGGAGGAGGGTCATGGTTTCACTGGAGACGCTGTAGAAAGACAGAACCCCTGCACTGTGATCCAGGTAAACTCCTATCCTGTTGGAACGAGCACCTGAGAGGGGAGTTTCCACGTTATTGAACCAAAAGGAAAAATAGTGGTTCTCACATCTCAAACTCCAAGATCTGTCTGTGAATCCTAATCCAATTTCATCCTCGTTCATGTTGACACTCTTGTATGCGAGGGCCAAATCCAGTTGATACCCTCTCCACTCGATCTCCAGGTAACATCGTCCAATCAGAGCCTCTCTACTCAGGACCTTAGGCCAGATATCTAATCCGTCAGGGTGACTGAAATATATCTGTTTTCGTTTTGTGACTGTGACTTTCCTGTTCTCCAAAGACAAGGACAGCCCTTTGGTTGCTGTGTTTGGATCCAGTGTGATTTCACGTGAATATTTAGAGAATTCAGCTCTGGTTTTGGGCTCGGTTTGTGACAATAAAGCATCAACTTCCTCCACCTCCTGTTGAAGCAGCTTTACATCTTCCTCTCGGTCCTGGATCCTCTGCTGTCGATTCACATTGAGCTCTTTTTGCTTCATTTCAACACGAAGGAGTCCAGTCTTCTTCAGCTGCTCCACCAGGAATGCTAACATGGTGTTTTTAACCAGGTCAGGTCTGGGTGTGAAGGCCTTCCTACACTGAGGACAGCTCTCCCTTTGATTCGGTTTCTCTCCATCCCAGTAGTTTGTAATACAGTCCATGCAGTTGCTGTGTCCACAGGGAATAGTGACCGGATCCTTCATCACATCCAGACATATCGAACAGGAAATGGATTCAACGTCCAGCTGAGCTCCTTTCTGAGACATTCCTCCTCGTAGCAGTGACGGTGAGAGAGTTTCTGAGATCAGATAAGTCTGTGCTCTGCCTCTAAAACAAACTCTAGTCCTTCTGTTTCTGTTTATTTGCTAATTTACACCAATGGTCAGCTCGGTCCCACCCAACTTCACACTTGCATATCAGTGAGGGGGAGGGGAGCTGGCTGGCTGGGTTTAACAATAGAAGTGTTTGGCTGTGTTTGTAAAATATGTTCTTATTATTGTGTTTTTGAAAGTTTGTTGAGTTGGCTCACATGGATATATAAACGTACATGTTCACCTGTGTGAGGAAGAGACAGTGATGGGTTTCTGTATCTTCGTTGACCGCCAATGTCATCGTGTTTGGGTCATAATCGTGTGCATGATATAATAAGTTAATTATTTCTTACTAAATAAGATTAGTTCAATGTATTTTGGATATCAGCTAACTGCCAGTCACACTGCCTCAGCTTCTCAGTAAATGTTTGTTTTCCAAAGTCGATCCAACTGGTTCAGCAAAGTCAGTGAAATAAGTTGAGAAACCCCAACGGCATTTCTCAACAAACGACAGTTGAGTGATCTGGATAGAAACCAACACATTTACATCTGTTTTATTCATAACGTCAAGAGTTTAGAAAGCTAGCATAGTATCACAGCAACGAAAAATAAGGTTGGAAAAGATAGAAAAGTTTGGGAAGTGAGGACAAGTTTGAAGAGACATATAACAGGTTTAGCGAGGCAGTGAGAGACGCTGAACGACTCTGAAGAAACTCCAGCACAGTTCTCAGTAAACGACTCCTCTGCTGTCTCAAAGGGTCTCAGATTGATCACCAATAGCAAACCTAAAGTTCCAATCCAATAACGACTTGAGGCGGTCCAACGACCTGAAGGAAATCTTCGTCTGTTTTGAAAGACGGGACAGTTCTGGTACCCATTAGGACTTTTCTTTATTATGGAGAGAGTCGTTAACAAGAAGCTACCGTACAAAACCTGCCCAGCAACAAGCAGAGGGTCTGCTGCTTTTTCGAATTGATGACTCTGTGGCATTTGTAAAGTTATTTGTATTTAAGTTTCACTGATATTTGTAAGGAAGTTGTATTAAAGTATCCGTATTCTTTAAGAACATATTGTGAATCTCAATCATTGCAAACTTTGTTAACACACTCTGAAAAATTATGTATAAGAAAAAAACAACCAAGTGATAAATAATTAGTTAAGACATAAGATATCACTCCTACCTTAGGAATACAGCTTTTAGACACTGTTTAAGAGTAAAAGCTGTACAGAAAATACTTTATGACAAATACAATTATACGTCTGATTGTGAAGCGGCTCAATTTCCCTGTGTTATTTTATTTTTCTGTTTCACGTATTTTAAATCACTGCTTGCAGTAACACTTGTCCCTGCTGTTTGTCATCTTAAACTGTGTGTAGAAGATGAAGTTAAATATTATTAATATAGTAATAGTATTTATTTATTTTCTTCTCAGAATGTACCAGAATGCGTAGTTTCTATGTTAGTATTTCTAATAATCTCCTGGGGGAGAATCCCCCCAGACCCCCTGCTGGGAGTTTTCAGCATGTCACATTTTTCACGTGTGGTGAATTTACAGGATTGGCTCCAAGTCTGCCTTTTTATTTTAATGAATACTTTAGTTCTGTGAAGGGATATATGGCCTGCACTTCACTTTAATTAATAATGTATGCTGAAAAGCGTATTACAGCACGATTTATTGACCAAGGTCCGAGGCCTGACCAGTTGAGAACCACTAAAACATATCATACAAGATTATGCTAATTATTGTGTTCATCAAAAAAAGTAGAGGGAATATGGTTCATGCCATCTAATCAAGACAAATACAATATGTTTATAAAGGTGAAACATTAATTTGATCAATCAAAAATTGCAATGGTGTGCTCTGTGAAAATAAGTGTTTTCAGACGATTGTGTTGTGCTCTCATGTTTATAATAATAAAACTGTGTCCACTAGTTAACTGCTGGCAGGTCTGGACAGTCCAATGTTAGAACCAGGCCTCTCCTGAATACACACATAGCTCAGATAGGACAAATCAATGTCTTGCAGAGAGTCATTTGATTTAAACAGGATTCGAGTGGATATAAATAAGCCCTTCTTCATTAATGTTAAAGTGTGACAATACATTGATTACAATTCAGACAACCAATAACGATGCTCTGAGAATCCCTTTCCTGACTATTGAAATACATTTGGAATTAATTATAGATTGATGGTATTTATTTGAGGGCTTTCCAAAGTCCTCAAACACCTTACATTAGCTAATGTTAGACATGTTATATGTTGATTACTGTGACATTACCCAGTGGCTGACTTGTGTCAAAACCCTGTGGTATTTAGAACATAATTGATTTGTCCATCTTGGATGTGAATAAACAACATTGTCCATTAAGTGTGATTTGTAATATCAAGTATCCTAGCAAGTTATGTTTTGGAGATGGAATTTAGGTTGATATAATGTTAATCGACTGATATGTGATATTGCCGATATCAAAAGGAAATAGACTCTTGAGTAATCTGGGTGGCTCTTAAAAGAGCCGTTGTTGTTCCAGGTATGTCAGGGTGTAGATGTTTAACCTCCGAAGCCGTACAGAGTGCGGCCCTGCCTCTTCAGGGCATACACCACATCCATGGCGGTCACCGTCTTCCTCTTGGCGTGCTCGGTGTAGGTGACGGCATCACGGATCACATTCTCCAGGAACACCTTCAGCACCCCACGGGTCTCTTCGTAGATCAGACCGGAGATACGCTTCACTCCGCCACGGCGAGCCAGACGGCGGATGGTGATGCCCTGGATGTTATCACGGAGAACTTTGCGGTGACGCTTGGCGCCTCCTTTGCCGAGTCCCTCAGAAAATTCAGTCTCATTCTGAAAATAATTCAGGCGGCAGACCGACCTGTTTTCTGATTGGACGATCAAAGTTACGGATCAATTTGACCAATGAGCGTTTAGCTGCGCTCCTATATAATCTGGTGAGAACGATGATCGACTCACTTTCTTCTAAACGTCAAAGAATAATCACATAGAAAATCTCTGGTCGCGGAAAAGGTGCAGGAAAGGTCAGGGCGAAGGCTAAGACTCGCTCATCCCGTGCCGGGCTCCAGTTCCCCGTCGGCCGTGTCCACTGGCATCTGAGGAAGCAGCCTGTCCTCCTACAAAAAACAACCATATAGGTCGATTGTTCAGCAGCTAAATACGACCCAGAGTCACGTTTTAAAGTGTAGCACCTCCAGTGGTCGTGTAAGAAACAACATGCTCCTGTCGATTGCAAACGCTCCGGCGGCTCGTTTATTCACAAATAACCCTCTCTGGAAAATCCTAAATTGTGGAATAGTTTGGCCATTAAAATGCTTTTTTATTAGATTTCTAGCGAGAAGTGTATATTGTACTTTTATAATCTACGTCCAGTGGATATGTAGGATCTACAGTTTGATAGATATACGAAGATAATTTGAGGTCTCGCCAGGAGAACGTGTACTGTATATGGGGCAGCTTCCATGTAAAGTTAGCATGGGTGAAAACAGTATTTCCGGTCTCGAAGTTTTCATAATAAAACCGGAAGTATTCCCCACACTGTCAAATGATCTCCATTACTCATCCACTAAAAAACATCAGTTTATCCTTGTTAATTACACAATATTGATTGGTTTAAATTGTGTACAATGCTTTTGTGTTTTTAACCTTCGATTCGGAGAAACATAGTTTTTTCGGAGTTTAGACACTACAGAGTTTCCGAAGACACTACACTACCCAGAATCCCCAGCTATCGTTTGGGACTACAACATCCGCCTTGCTTTACAAACCCCGTGATTAGCCCTCAAGCTCTGTGATTGGATGTTGGAGTGGCAGTGTGACAAGGTTACGCCGAGTGTCAAACAGCTCTTTGAAATGGAATGGAACCACGGCAGACTATCCAAAACTGGACTTGGACGGGTCCAGCCCAGCCCTCCCCCACATAATTACACATGCTGGCTATTGTGTGTTTCGCAATATGTTCTATGGCACATCTGGGAGTTGTAGTTTTATAAGACGTTTTCGTATTTCCCACAATTAGAAGTTGCCAGTATTAAACTGTATACATCCCTGGAGGTTTAGGGTATACGAAACACATTGGTGTTATCAAATTTAAAACATATAATTAATACATGGGTGAAAATTGCTTGTGCCCATAATGGGCAGCATTAATATACCACATGACAGCTAAGGTCAGAAGAGCTTTATTTAACAGCTGGTCTTATGTCTGTGACCCCTCCTGTTGTTAATTGATAAGCCTGAAACATGCACTTGTCAAGGTTCAGATGCACATTTAGCAAATATGGCAGTAGCCATCGATCATCTTAAGATAAGATATACTTTATTGATCCCAAGTTGGGAAATGTTTTTGTTACAGCAGCATGTACTACTTTGTTCTACTCCACTACAATTCAGAGGTCAACCTGGTATTTTTACTCTACTACATTTATTTTTGTTACTTTGCAGATTCTGATTAATGATGTGAAATATAAACAACCCTTAAATCAGACTTTTGTTACACCTGAGTAAAATTCAGCCTTATCAGTTTGTCTGTTTTTCACATCCTCCTGTTAATATATTTGGACGTCCTGCACTAAACTGTTTTATTGTAGAGATCACTACAGTATATTCTTGATATTTTCTATTCTATATTTCTATCATTGACCCCTATTTTGTATGTAGGCTACTCTTAATATTTAAATCTTTTCATAAACATTTATTTATTCAACAACTGAATTCAATAACGTGCTTTAACCACTAGGAGGTACGGTTTAGACCAGTGGTCTAGTTAATAAAACATAATAATATCAAACATAATATGACTATTCACTTTATTGTGAAATTAAAACAGAACGGTAAAGGAAAATACAGTTTCAGTCTCTCGATGTGAAGCTTATGCATCGTACCATAAACTTTTATAGACCTGTAACAGTCAACTGCATGAGGAGTTGGAAAGGTAGTTCAGAAAATCAGTAATATCTTTAAAAACTATAAAAAAGTCCCTTTCTATCAGCTGTGTACCGTTATGGTGTAAATACAGACTATCTACTTATTGGATCAAATATAAAAGTCAGCCGAATTAGTGTTGATACTGCAAGGAGACGTATTGTGTGAAAATAAATGTAAGATGTTGTTTAATTGTTGATATTTTATGGTCCACGTCACGTATTCAGTTTTGGCGGCATCTCTTCCAGTTTGTCAAAAGGTCTTCTGATCAGGGCTCTATAAATAAATATCTACGGCAGATATGTAATATTTAATGCAGCCGAACCGTGTATTACAATGCCGTTATGTGATGACTTTCAAAGAGAAAAGAAAGAACACTCGGAATAAAGTATTATTTAATTTTTTAAAAATGTTTTCCGATTTCATATCACATAAACACCAAATCCCGACGTGCATTGCGGCGTCATTTTAGCCTATCAAAACCTCTGAAAAAAGAAATGTGTCTCTCACAACACAAAAGCATTGTACACAATTTAAACCAATTAATGTCGTATAATTAACTAGGATAAAATGATGTTTTTTAGTGGATGAGTACTGCAGATATCACTGTTAAATAATTTGATCATTGGTTTTATTATGAAAACGTCGAGTCCGGAAATACTGTTTTCAACCCGTAACTTTACATGGACGCTCGCCGCATATACACGTTCTCCTGACGAAACCTCAAATCATCTTCGTAATATCTATCAAACTATAGATCCTACATAACGACTGGACGTGGATTCTAAAAGTACAATATATACTTCTCGCTAGAAATCTAATCATAAAGCGTTTTAATGGCCAAACTATCCTACAATTTAGGATTTTACAGAGAGGGTTATTTGTGAATAAACGACCATCTGTAACGTTTGCATTCAACAGGAGCACTAGAGGCCGACAACTTTAAAACGTAATTATAGGTCGTATTAAGCGCTTGAACAAACGACATATTTGGTCGTAATAAGGGCTTAAACAATCGACCCATTTGGTCGTATGAGTTGGAGGACTTGTTGCAGCAAGGGTAACTACGCCCATCGTGTCGGTGCCGGAGCCCCGGTGTACCTGGCCGCTGTGCTGGAGTACCTGACCGCTGAGATCCTGGAGCTGGCTGGAAACGCCGCCCGGGACAACAAGAAGAGTCGTATCATCCCCCGCCACCTGCAGCTCGCCGTCCGCAACGACGAGGAGCTGAACAAGCTGCTGGGAGGAGTGACCATCGCTCAGGGAGGCGTGCTGCCCAACATCCAGGCTGTGCTGCTGCCCAAGAAGACCGAGAAGGCTGCCAAGAAGTGAACACCCCGATCCCGCTTCAACAAACAACAAAGGCTCTTTTAAGAGCCACACATTTCCAACTAAAGACATTTCTCCCCCTTGCCCTATATGTATTGATGTGCACAACATGTCATGTTACACCAAGTCACCCAACTAAAACACCCACATTATAGAGCAATATACAATTGAAACATAACCCTAAATTACTATTAATGATATCATCTATTGCAGGTTGTAGCCTCTCTAAAATAAAGCCTTATTTCAACTAAAGCAAACTCCTTTCACAATTTCCTTCGTACATCCAGCAGGTTAATCACCACATTCTCAAATGAATAGCGGTGTGGTTTCTACATCTGTCAGTCCACATAAATAAAGCCACAACGTGTGTTGGACCCATCATTAGTGTTTAACTCAGTTCACACTATATCAGTATTACTTATTGGCAGGTGTCTGCAGTTCACCGATCAATAGCGTACCGTAGCATTTAAGCACTCGATGGTATCTTTATCCCACGCGCACATTGAAATGAATAACAGGTTATATTTAGTTCCAGCCTTCATCCACCAGATGTCAGTGTTCACCAACTAATGTTTGGAGCAGAACGAGAATAGTGGCTCTATTGTAGTGGAATAAATATTAACACACGTGTCTTTCTAACAGTTATTTATTTATTTTGTATTAGCATTTTAAGAAATGAGGTACATTTAGTACATATATTAATGAAGTTAATATATTTTTGCCAATTAGCAGTTCTTTAAGAGGGTGAATACATGTGCACACACAACTTTTCAGTTTTTCATTGTTTAAAACAGGATCATTTGTATTTTCACTTCACCAATCTTGACTGACTTTGTGCAGGTTCATGACATAAAATCCTAATCAAAATATTGAATTATTATTGGCTTTAATAATAGAAAATAGAAAAAGAGCCAAGGGGGTGAATACTTGTGCATGGCACTGTATGCCCTGTTTTCATTTGGCTCTACTGTAGACCTGCAAGTGAATCTACCTCTTATGATGTACCAACAACACAAAGGCTCTGCCACCCACTGCATCTGAACACCTATTCCAAACATTTCCTTTCGAGGCTTGTCTCTATATGATTAATGAAATCGACTATTCTTTCAATCTCATAAGTGACACACATCATGAATATGTTTTGTTTTAATCTTCTGTCAGAAGTATAAACTGGATGAATAAATACTTTTTGAATCGTAATCATACTCTCAGAAAAGGAGTTTGACCCTTCTCAATTGTTTCTATCTAAACCCTTCTAAAGACTCGATACGATAGCATATCATTATCAGAGCTAAACAGTAGTTATATTGTTTTTCTTTTCTTTTAAAAAATACAATCTGTCAAAACTGTTTCCATGAGGCAATACCATTTTCTAATAAATAGTTTTCTCTACTAAAGTATCTTTTAAATGTGCAAATTAAAAGCTTTAATTGACCAAACTTATAACATTTTGTGAGAGCTGAAATATGTTATGAGTTGAAGAAGTCCATGGTTATTTGTCTGTTACTTTATATTTTATATTTAACATGAACAATTTGGTACATTTCTTGATAGTCACACACCCAAACCTAAATACAGTGTCTACATTCAGGTGTTTCTATTGGACTAATTCTTACTTTTATGTCAAATTGTTGACGTGTTTTATGTATACAAATGTATGTCTTGACTCATCAGAAACAGAATGAAAGTCTCCTATAAAGAGTATTTTTTAAAAACTTTGATCAACTTTAAATGTAATGTTAATCTCAGAAAGGGTCATATTTCAATTATAAATGTTATTAAGCATGTGAGGGTTTTATTACATATTAACACACGTTTAATCATCAAACGCTTAGTATAAAGC